GTTACGTTTTAGAAAATTAACCGTTTTAGAAAAACAAACTATATTTTTGCATTGAATACACGTGATCAAGATGCTGGACAATATGTTTATGTAGATATATCCAATCATTATGTATTCAAAATACATAATGAAACAAATTTTTTTCAATGGATACAGCGTCAAAAACAATCCAAAGTCATTAGTCGCATGAACTCAATAAGTCCTTCAAAAGTTGAATTATTTCATTTAAGATTATTATCAACTAAAGTAAGAGAATCGAGAAGTTTCGAAAATATTAGGAAAGTAAATGGCTATACATATGACACATTTATAAATACTTGCCTCGTACTAGGATTAATTGGCTAACTGATTTGGTTTAATTTTAGGTTGAAAAAAGCTTATTTACATAAAAATTCGATTCTTTGCGATGAATGAATACAAATCGCGAATTTTTCAAGTATGTCACAATTAACAGATTCAGAGTGTATGCATGATGAGGAAACAACAGATGAAACTAATAATCGTGGAACTCAACAGTATTAAATATTAAATGAAAAACAAAAAGAAAGCAGGAGACACGTTTACTTTAGTAGTGTCTCGTGCGCCAAGTTTAGGCATTACCGTATCTCTATTCTGCTCGAATCACAGTCTGTTGAAGTTATGCACTTCAAAATTGCAATTTCTTTATTATAATGACTTAAACATGTCATAAAAACTTCGGGAAACCTTATTAATTTACTTCAGGAATAGATTAAGGATTCTATTGTCTTTCGATATTAATTATTTTGAATAATTAATATTAATTAATAATTGGCCACGTCCCCATATACAAGATCTATACATAAAAAAGACAATGATTGGCCATATTGGATTGAAAAATGCCATATTAGCTGGCATATTGGAAACCATATTAATAATGTGAGTATTTTGATTGGTTTTATTTATTGAAAAAAGATGACTCATGATTGTTCACCAATTGAAACAAAATAAATTTGTTATAAATTATTAATAATAATAAATGTGTCCTATGTTCTAAACTTCAGCTTTTATAGATTTTTTACGGCATTGTAGATAGAATAAAGTTTTCGATTATCAAATGAGGAAATTATTATTGAGTCCTTATTTGTTATAAGGAATTTCATCCATCATAAATTTTTGTTACGTGTAGATGGATGGAATTAGTCATAGTCTCCATGAAGATTTGGCTCAAAAATTCAGCTAAGCCGTAGAAAATATTTACTCGAAAATAAGTAAATAATCTCAATTATTGAAAAACGACTAATAATAATAATTTCCATTATAGGCAGGAAAATATCAGTATTTTTTTGTAGACACAAATGAAAATTATAAGTCTTTTTGAAAATCAATACGAATGATTTAGTAGTAGAATTGACCCTTTATAAATTTTACAATATCAATGAAAAAAGCTTGGTGCAAGTGAATGATTCCGAAAAGTTTTTATTTGCGACAAAATAAAATTCAAGTATCTAAAAATCATGAAATGAATTTTTCAACCCCGGTCAAACTTGGCTGGAATATTTCTAGGCATGCTAATTTTAACCAGGGATAGTTTTGAGGGGATCACGAACCCAGCGTCAAGGTGAAAAGAGGTAAGATTGCTCCGAAATTCATTTTTCCACATTACTCGCGTAAACTATTATGGATTAAAAAAATGTTTCAAACAAAAGTTGTTGAAAACGTTAACATCTACAACTTTTGTATAAAACATTTTGTTACATAAATTGCAGTTCTCGCGAAAAATCGATTCAAAATTGAAAATTTTCAAAAATAAAACTTTTTTTCTATAAAATGAATAAGTATAAAATTTAGAAACAAAAAATCTTAAGCCATTTTTCGAGATTTTACAAACTGTGGAAGTTAGAAAACATTGGGGCGCTGAGGGGCCGGCACTGAGCACCAGAGAAACAGCATGTATCGGACGCACTCTTCGCACTCATGACGAGTTTTTAAGCACAATAAACTTGCTTAAGGTAGTTCTATGCAAATATTTTTTTCGACCAATTTTTTTACAATTTTGAATATCCATGCAGTAATATATTCCAGAATAATTTGCAAAAGATCAATCGAATTAACCACATAGTTTATGAAAAAGTTATTTTTCAAATAAATTATTTTTACACGAATCTTGTAGGGACAGCCATTTTTACATGCCTTGGAATGGATGTTTTTATTTTTTTCATCGGAAACAAGTCGACAAAAATATTTCTAAAAATAGTAGTGGCCTAATCAATTCTTTTAGAACCCGATGTAATTGTTCTATCATTATTTACCACGTAGTTATAAAGAAAACTTCAATTGAAAGTTGAAAAATCTCATAGTATCGTGAGGGGACACGCGATGACTTACATTAGCAAAATAAAACTGGCAACGTTGCTTACGTCACTCAATATGATTTTTACCGCCGAATTTTCAAATCTTTGTCTTATCAACTCTGTATTGTTATCGTTTTTTAAAGAAAAATAATAAATAAATAAAATTATTCGAAAAAAGGATTTTTAAAAATTTCATTTTATTCATAAACAAGATAAAATTAAAATTGGCTCAACTTGGTCTTTTAATTCTTAGCATTTTAAACATTATTAATAGATAATATATAAGAAAAACAGAAATAAGTTAAATTGTTTTTAGAAAACATATATATTTTGCTTTGGATTTTCTATCACATTAATGAATTTTAAGTTATAATAATATATAATATAATAAAAGTTAAAAAATGTAATAATAACAATCGTTTTCAAATTCAATAATTAAATATTATATAGATTTATACTTTCCTTTTGTGAATTTTAATAAATATTCAATAATAGTAAGAAAATGACAATTTGAGCGCAAAACAAAAATGACTAATTATTTTTTTTGAAAAATTCAATTATTTTTCTTAAAATTTTTTTATTCTTAGTAACCAAAGTTGTCCCATCTCTATTTTTTTTAGATAACAGGTCTATGATAGCATTTTCTCCATCCTGTAGGTATATTTTTTTTAATTTATTGTAATCTATCCCAGCTTGTGAGATTTTTTTAATCATACCAGACGAAATAATATTTTGAAGAGGTTGTAAAGTTTTTTTTAAACAGTTTTCATTTTGTAATCTCATAATAGATTGTAAAGTAGCTCTAAATGATACCGCTGTATCGAAAAACTCAGTTTTAGAAATTAGTAATGAGCTTAATTGCTGTAATACATTCGCGTCATACACTGCATCGTGAAAATTCTCGTTAGAATTTTCAGGTAGAAAATCATTTGCTAATGCAGATAACTTAAATACTCCTGGTCCTTTTCGATCAGGATACTTTGTTTTGAAGATATTTAAAGAATCTGAAAATCCAATAATCACACTTTCAAATTCAGATATTAGTGAATGTTTTTGAATTGCTCGAACTAAAAAATGCGAATCAAATGTAACTTTATGGGCTACAAGGAGAATAGGTGTTGACAATGAAGCTAAATAATTTTTAAATTCTAACAAAGCTTGGTGTATCGGTATAGAAGATACTTTTTTACCATGTAAAAATAATTCACCATGAATATTTTCTAACCCAGTAACTGCTGATGCAGAGACTGTGACAGGTTGTGATGGATTTACATAAGTAGAAAATACCGATTCTTGACCAACAGCTGCGATTTGTAAAATATCCGCTGATCTGCCAAATCCTGAAGTTTCTAGATCAAAGTAAATGATGTTGTACTCATTTACTGTTTTCAAAAGACAAGGTGATCTTTCATCTTCTTCATTAATATTATTTTCAGCAGATAAATCATTTGATAATTCGAGACCACAATTAGATTCGTACATAGTACCTTCTGACTTCTCGTTTTTTTTCCTCAAATCTACTCTTTGTTGTCGCAAATGTACCCTTCTCAATTTCGTTTTTGGTAAAGAAGCTGTTTTTGCACGTTTAAGTCTTTTTTCATCTAGTTGACTTGAAAAAGATGCGGTTCTCTTTCCTGGACTCATATTCAACTGCTTTTCTACTTTAGATAAATACAAATTACCTTCATTCTTTGTACATACAGCACTAGCTATTCTAAAATCGCTAGCCTCACTAAGTGAATGACAATCTTTTTTTGGATTCTTATGTGCAACCATATTGTGAAAGCTTTCGTTACTCTGACTGGATGCTCCAGTTGAAAACTTCGATGCATTATTTGCATACTTTTGAAAAATTGTTGACAACTCTTTGAAGAGCTCTGGATTGTGAAGTAAAATAGTTTGTGATTCGGTATTGTTATTAGAATCAGCAGAATCTCGATGACACCAAGAATCACAATTTTCGTGTCGCCCATAAACATGATCTGGAATAGATCGAAGTGTAGATGCTAATTTTGCTGTTTGCCCTTTATTCTGAGCTACAGCATATCCAAAGCACTTCTTCAAATGCGGAATTACGCTCTTATGTGCCATTTCTCTATACTTGTTTTTTAACGAATACAAATCACTAACAAAGTGTTTACGAAGATGATTATAGTCAGCAAACTTCACAATACTATGTGCACTATTCTTACGTACTGAAGATATTGTTGCACTATCTTCATCTCCAATTAAGACTCGAACATTCACGTTTGCTTCTTTTAAAATCGAGCTATCATTAACAAGAGCAGAACCAAGATCAGCCTCCATGGCTTTGGCAGATCCTTGAAAGTTTTTGCGACAGTCATGTTTTTTGTCAGCATTTTTTCCACACTGGCGGCATTTTCTGTTTCGTGTTCCATAATCGATTATTTTTTTGGATAAAAATCCAATTATTGCTCCATAACCGTTGAAGCTATCATAGCTATTTCCTGCACCTCTTTTGGACCAAGCCATGTCGTAGGAAACTATGATGTTTACGATGTTATCTACTGCCACATCAAATTCTTCAGTATGATCTTCACTTGACATGCTGGGATCACGATCTAATTTATATAACTGGGGGTAAACCTCCTTCACCACTTCATCGGGGCTATTACAATAAAAGAAAATCAAAAAATTACATTAAAATTTATCGAAATAAACGAATATATTTCCTGAAAAAACTTCATGGAAGCTACAAAAAAAATTGAATTTTTATGGTACATTGATTACATTACATCATTTGAATTTCTTCAAATTAAAAATTGATTTCATTACGTATTTACTCCAAAAAAGAGTTATATTCATAATTAAAACATTTACTATATATAAAAAACTATAAACTGATTGGTAAAAAAATAGACATAAAATCATAAGTAACTATAGTTTTCAACTATCTATACAATAATCCATTCGTTTACTATGATTTTAAAGAATCAAAATTCATAAAAAATTAGCTTACAGTTCTTCACATAATTTTGTAATATTTTCAACCACAAGACGTCTTTCCTCTTCTGCAGCTTCTTTACAACTATTTTTGGCAGTTTTTTCAATAGCCAATCCAACTTCTCGCTCAAATTTTTTATATAATGCTGGATAAATTATTGGACAATTCATACAAGCTAACATTTTATTTAAAGCAGTACACCCAATCCCACTGTGTATGGCACCTGTAATGTTAATTTTACCTTAATCATAAAATTAGAACTTATAATTAATTACGAATAAATGATCATTATTTTCAACTGTATTTACCAAGAATTAATCTTGTATTAACATCACTTTTCATTGTTTTTTTATCACTTGACAGGTGTGATTTAGTCGTGTATACTTCTTTGACAGCTTGACATTCAGTGCATGTCACTAACAAATTCACTCGTTGACCAACTAATTTTTCTTCAGTTGCATTTTTTAAATGCAACAATTGACCACATTTTTCACATTGTAAATTTTCACTTAAAACTTGTAAATCTATAAAACGTATGCCTTCACACAAACCATGTTTCATGCTACTTGAGATTACTTTTGGATGTTCGGCTTCTCTATTGGAATAAGTTAAATTTCTAATTTGTTTTTTTAGTTTCCCTTTATTGAGAATCTCTACTGCTTTCAAATTTCTTTCTAGAGTTTTCTTTTTTATAAATTTACCCTTATATCTTGTTTTTTCCATGATGAAACAACTGTCAAATTCTTATATATGTATTTATAGGTTAGAGAGGGTTAAATAATGCGATGTTGCCACGATGCATTTGTCATAGTGTACGTGAAAAAATTATTTCTATGTACACAGCTTTTTATCTGTAGTAGGTACCGTATCGACAAAAGTTTGATTTAAAATAAATAAATAAGAATTATTTAACATATTTAAACAATTATTTTTCTCTTCAGAAACATTTATTATGATAATTATAATAGAATAGTAGAAGTGTTTTTACCCATTTTCGTGGAAAAACAATATAAATAGAATTAAAATCTAAAAGCATAAAAATAAATTTTTGTTTCTGAATATGCATAGAACTTCCTTAAAGAAATTGTGATGTAACCAAAACCCACATAATAGAAAGAAAGGGTTATTACAACGTTGACTATTTAATTTCTTATAAGTGCTTGAATAAGTATGAGAGAAAAGCCTACAAAAATTCATATCTTGTAGACCTGAAAGTTTTCTTTTATTAAAAAATGAAATATAAAAAGTTTGAAACATTACGGAGAGCTTAAAATTTTGATGTAAAGATCTCAAAATCCTTGAGATAATTGTAAACTGTTTTAGATTCATTCAAAGAACTAATTGTTATGAACAATAATATTCGGAGAAACGCACAGTGCTAGACAATCTGGCCTAGCGGTAGATACCCGACGCCAAGTAACCCGCACATTTCGTGCGTTTGCTTTTATTTGAATCTACAATGAGTATTTTCAGTCGAGTATTTATCGAGATTTCGATAAATCCACGCCCGTAATTCTGTTCCCACAAGTTTCAATTTAATTTTTTACCTCCTCTTTGTCATTCTCATCGAAATGTCATCAGATGCGGATCTCTCTATTGTGGTCAAAATTTTTCCACAATATTATACATAAATCATTAATTCATTGATTATCTTATCATTTATAAAAAAATTAATCAGTAGTGGACTGATACACTGATTGATCGATTCTTCAAAATTTTTATGGAATTGGCTCTCGTTACAAAAAATATACTTAACGATTCCAACTGCTTGTAGAATAGAAAGAAAATAGAGTGCAAATTACGTATCTCGTAATTTTTTATGCTCTTTTGATTAAGATTCGTCTCATTAGAAAATAAATAATAGTTTTTGAGTTAAAGATTTTTTGTTATATTTAATAAAAAAAAAATGTATATCCCTAAGCTTTATAAATATGTAAATAAAGGTATCTTTTATCATTTTTTTATATTGTTTTGAACGTATAAAGTCGTTTTGGAAAATTTCGATTCGAAATATGTGATAATTAAAAATCACCTTTATAGGGTGTTAACTTCGAGGGTGATTTTTACCGCTTCAAAACGATTCTCTGTCAAAAGAAAATACGTGGTTCATCATTTTCGACGTAGATGATTATATAGAAACCTCAGCTAAATCGACGGTGACCACCTCGCAATGTTTCCTTGTAAGAACGAAATCAATTATAATAATTCTCATCGTTATTTGCTCATTTGTTTCATTTTATGACTTTTATTATGATTTATTTTATTCTAACCCACGATTCTCTTTCAAGTACACTGTTTCTTCTGCTTACATTCATCAGAAAGACCATGTTTATAAGTTCATAAAAAGAATATTGAGAAAAGTAATCGAAAGTATTTTTTTTCCGGATTTAAACTTGTGACCCTTAGAATCTCAAGTCGAATACGTTGCCACTACGCCATTTAGACTTTGAGAATACTGTTCTTCATTTACCTGTTAAGTTACAAATTCGATTACATATGTATGATGTGCAGGAGAAAATAAAACTGAATTGAAACAAACAGAGAAAAACAGATGAACTAAAGCTTAAGGGAAAAACGTAGTAGTAGATCCACGATTGAGGAAAAAATCCGACTAATTTCGGAGTAGAACAGGTCAAATCATCAATTTCTTGTGTACACTTATCAGTTTTTTTATTAAACCATTGCTAGAAACAATTTTTTGATGTGTTATGAATAGTTGAAAACGAAATCGATGAAATATATTTGAGTTATTCTAACAGAATATATTTTCTTTTAGTAAAGAAAAATTATTAAATTCGTTATATGAATGGATATGAACTCTATTAGCTTATATCAACTGAATTTATTATAAGTAATAAAAACGGAATCCATGCTATATTTGAGTTTTTTCAGAGGAATATTTTACTTTTTACCAAAATAAAATTACTTACTATGTAACATGAATAGAAATGTTTTCTTTCGTTTATAACACCTAAATTTGTTATAAATAATTAAAAACTCGATCCATGCGATACATTAGAGTTCGTTTAATGAGAAATTATTTCTTGTTCTGATAAAAAGTTCCTACTTATGTATAATAAATGTAATAGAATCTGTTCTTTCTTACAATCGATGTGCTTCAGATGGGCAGAGATTGAATATTACATTAAAACCTTAATTTTTACTCGTTTCTTAGTAATACACATAAACTTATTCCTTTTTTTTTATTTTAACAAATTTGTATTCCAGTATAGATTGTCAGAGAAAAATAATACATTTGAAAATTATTCTTTAAGTGTTTGAACTATATTAATAAATCTTGGTATGGCTATAGCAAAAAAATACAATTATGGTTAATGAAATCTATTTTTCAGGCTATGAGATATTGTCCTTCAGAAGTAACTGTCCGTGGCAAGTTTTATGTTAGCCAAGATTTCATAAAATTTTATTTATTAAAATCAAGCATTCAATCGACAATTTGCCGAGCACACTCACTCGGTTTCTTCTTATTAAAAAATTGTTAGGAAAGAATTTTGAAATGATTTTGCGCCTATGACACGTCAAACTTAGTGCAATTCTATGATTTCAAATCTTTTCGGCATGTAGAAAAATGTGAAATTATCAGAGTATTAAACATCGCTAAACTTGGTCTGACGTCATTTTTTTTATAGATGTAACTCGATATCTGTTTTTGGCGGATTTCATTTACTTTTTTACATACGTTTCCATATTAAATTAATGAATTTCGATTTTGGTAAGTTAAAAACCTGCAATATCACAAAGTTAACGGAGTGACTTAATTTTAAAAGGAGGATTCATAGATAGCGACGACGATTTTTTTAAATTTATTTGCTGTTGTCGGTAACTACAGTATAATCGAAAACGCAATTTCTGTATTTGCATTTTCGAGATTTTTTATCGCAAAAAGTTGAAAAAATCATTTACTGTGGCAGCCATTTTCACTGATTATTACGCCAATTTATCGTTATTACAGTTTTCATATCAATCAATAATTATCTAAAAAAAATCTCAAAAATACAAATGAACTCACAAAAAGTAAGGTGACTAAAATATTTCTTGAAGTATCTAGCAAAAATTTTTTTTAGTCAAGTATAGCTAATTTTTGCTTCAATTACGAGATATTACATAAAGTATGTGTACATAAATTTGCTATAAATAATAAGAAGAGAGATCTATGCAACATACCTGAGGTATTCTAAATGAATGAAAACTCTTTCTGTTCATAACCATTGAATTTGTTTTAAAAAATGGAAAACAGGACCTATGCAATATAATCAAATTTTCTCACCCGGTAAATTTGTTGAATACGAGCAGAAATCAAACCTCACAATTGAATTTGGGTATTTTTAGTCTATTACCAATACTCACGAATTAATTTCTTTTAATACCATCGCAAAGTATACGTATTCGAACTTGGTGTCACTTTTATTACACCTAGAAATGCGGTAAAAGTGACTACGATGTTAATCAAATGGGTGACGTCATATTTAACATACTTATTCGCATTGGAATAATGCATTTTGAAAACTGGGATTTACGGTGTACACTCACGAAGTCACGGTAATCTGCTTGTATTAACATAAGCTCCTTGGAAATAATAAGACGATAAAAGTGTAGCCGATATCAACAGGTTTCACTTTAATCTTCGTACAATATCCCGTTAGAACAAAAATCAAAACTTAATGTAATTGATTAAGAAAAATAAGTTCATTTTCAACTTCCCAGCGGGATGTTATAGTAATGAGTCAAATTTTGCGAAACCCGAATTTTGACATATCTCCACGTTTTAAGATCCCCAGAGTCGAATACAATCGTTTTCCAGTGGACGTCTGTGTGTGTGTATGTACGTATGTGCGTTCGAAATTTTCATGATCGATTATCTCGAGAACAAGAAATGATATCGACGTGATACCAATTGCATTCATCGTGTTATTACGTAACTCAGAACTGATCATATTTTCAGGAAAATCGGTAAAGCCATTTTTTTGGCAGAATCAAAAAACTGGAAAAAAAGGAAATTACTTGAATTTTGCAATTTATAAATTATACCATTTTTTAGACAAAATTTCAAGATCATTGCAGAAATATGAATATTAAATGATTGAAATACTTGTATGGATATATGATGACAATATTTCATCAAAAAAAAAATTTTAAAAAACAAAATCAGCAATAAATGAATTTTAAACTCGTCTCAAGATTGAGAAAACAGCATTGAAGACGCTATAATAGTCAATAATAATTGTCAATAGTATTGAATTGTGTTCATAACGATTGAACATTGTTACTAACAAGTGATTATTGATCATAGTAATATTTAAATAATAAGTTTTAAATTGTTATAAACAATAAGAATAGGGACCCTTTCTATACATATATGAGTACTTTTAACGCATAATTTTTTTTTTTACTAAAAAAAGTTACCAACCGTATGACGTAAATGAAAACATGCTTTTTTGTTCATATCAATTAAATCGGTTATATACAACAATAAGAGAAATCCTGCGATATCTTTGAATTCTTCTAACGTGTAATTTTTTCGATTACTAAAGAAAAATGTTACCAACCATATGACATAAATGGAATTTCACTCTTTTTGTTTATAGCAATTAAATCTGTTATAAATATTAGAAAATGAGTTGTAGGTAAGGTATTGGAGTTTATCTTACAGCAATTTTCTTTCATTACTAAAGCGAGGGTACCAACTATGTATCATGATCAAGAGCGAATTTTTTTCTATACCAATTAAATCGTTGTTAATAAACAGGAATTTAATCTTATGATAAATTCAAAATTTCCACTGAGAAGTTGGTTGTGTGGATCTTTCGGGTCGCACCCAGACCACTGCAGAGCACTGATATTTTTTT